ACCACGATGGAATGCAGATTCAGGCTGTGTTAGTTAGAGAGTTAATTTTTTCGTCGTATATAAATGTAGAAAAGGTGATTTTCGGTTTGTTCTCACAGAAGAAGTTGAGTGTTCTTGAACCTCGAGTATCCCAGAATTTGATAGTGGGGGAGTTGGGGAGTATGACACAATTGACACATAACATCGAGCATCATTGAATATGCTTGGTTATTCTGGCGAAAAATTGCCCATTATTTGTAGTGACTTTCAATTTCAATAGCGTTTTCATAAGTGATCATCAGTGACGTGACACACGAGACACGATGTCAGATGTCATTAGTTTTTTAATTTTCCTGCGGAATGAAAAACAATTTTATTTTTTATTTTAAATAAAATATATATCTACATATTTGTTGCATTACCAATAAATTGCAGAAAAATCGTGAGAAAATGGTTTAAAATCGGGAGATAGGTAGACTCATTTGAAAATCGGTAGATCTACCGATAGATCGGTAGAGGTGGCAGCGCTGGATCGCATGGCAAAGCTGCTTTGGCTAAGGTATGCGCTGTTGTCGGATTGTAGACATCTTTTTCTAAATTTTAACTGATGTTTTATCTGTAAGGCTTAAAATTTTCATTAATTTTTTAGAAGACTTACGCCCCCCTCAATGTTGCTTCACGCCCCCCAGGGGGGCGCGCCCCCCAGTTTGGGAACCACTGATCTATACATATAAAAATCGATGATTGTTTGCTGTGATAACAAATTTTACTAGGGGAGTTAGGGGAGTATGACACAATTGAGACATCACATAATCCAGCAAAAGATTATACTTGGTTATCCTCGCGAAAAATTGCCTAATAATTTTTTTACTTTTTCTGCACTGAGGCGTTTGTTATGCGGCTAGCGCAAATATAGTGTTAGGCGTTTTTAATTTCAGTGTAGGTGTACATCTGCTCAAGAGGAGGTGTCACAAGTGAAGAATGGGCAGGGGGTATATTGGGGCGATAGAAAAAACTACTTCAATCAAGCTGAAAGATAGGGAATCTTCATTCTTCATCTTCCTATACATATAATTTCTGACAATAAAACCTTGTACATACATCCTATTAACTATTACACATTTTTTTCTTCGCTGCACGAACTGCACTAAGTGTACCTGCACATACGGCGGATTTAAGCAATACCAAGCTTAGCGAGTCCTAGCGAGTCCTGGCGATGCGATGCGAGAAAGTGTGCATATACAAAGATTGTAATTCGCTTGCGATTTTTTTTCTAGTTCCTAATTAGTCATCCTTCTTTGTGTGCAACAAGGAAACACTGTGCGTAATTTTAAAATGGACGTAACGTGTTTGTTGTTAACTAGTAGAAAATTCGTTGATAGTAAAACGGTTGTGGCGCAGGAGAAGAGGAAGAAGAAGAAGAAGGTACTGATCACACGAGATTAACTTTGGCAGATCAGCGTATTGAATATAGAACATTTACCTGTAATTCCGATTTTAATGATACTGGATCATGGATCATGGAATGTGAGCTGGTGGCTTCCTACATCAGAATGCCAATGGTCACATGACGTCACATCTGTATTTGCCATAAGCTTTACCCCTTCACTCCTTTACCCTGGTGGCTATGAACTACACCTAGCAGCACCAGCAGTCTGAGCTGTTTTCGCTAGCTAGAACGCTTCACACCGAAAGCAGCTCTGCACTGACTGAATCACAGACAGACCTTAAGCATAAAATTTGCATTATTTATCTTTAAAGTGGGGATTCGCCCTTAGGGCGAATCCCCACGGGCGTAATTAGCGCAATCGGCATGAACGTCAATTCTACGCCAATTTTGGCGTAACATCCCGCATGTAGTGCATCAAAACCAAAACAATAACATTTTCTTAACACAAATATCTTGTTTATTTTTTGCCAAGTTGTAATGAAAATTTTCTTATTTGTTGTTGTAGTCCTTTTCCTTTGATTTTCTGTGATTGTTCTATCATAGGTGAGTTCGGCTTGGCAACTCTTTTGACTCCTTTGACACTTTTCACTGCAAAATCGTTCGGGTCAGGCCACTGATAGGAGCAAATAGTGCAGGCTCCTCATCGTTCGGGTACAGCCAAAGCCAAATAGAGTGAAATTAGTGAAAATAATTGACTCCATATCCATAAGCACCACCTCGCGAGATGAAGCTCGAGAAGCGATCATGCGCACTTCCTATATTTCCAAAAGGCGGTAAAATTTAGGTTTTCAATAATTAGGCAATCCAACGACCTGTCCAAATGTCGTCTGGTTGGCAAACAATAAACAATAAACATAATATGTTTTTTTTTTGGCAGGATTAAGCCTTGTACTCATTACAGCGAAATTCGCTCTTTTTTAACATTGCTTCGACAATTTGACGTTTGATTCACGCATAAAACGTCAACTTGTCGAAGCAATGTCAAAAAACAGCGTATTCCGCTGTTATGAGTACTAGGCTTTATCAAATCTGACACTTTTCGGACATCGTTGACATGTAACAACCCGTATTCTAACCTCACAAAAATTTTAAAATGCCGGCTGGTTGGCAAAAGTCACGTGGTTTGGATTCCTAATAGGCTCGTTCAGTGAGGTTTCATTAACCACGTTTTTTGATATTTCTATGGAGTATTACTCACATATAGCACACACAAAAAAATTCAGCGCAATTGGATAAATATTAAAAAAGTTATGCGGCTTTGAATAATAAAACATTATGCCTCAGAAAATCATCGCGAGATGGTATGACGTCATCTCTCGAGTCAAGACGGGCTAAAGGCCGTCACACGAATAACGTGAGAGATGCAGTGACGTCACCACGTGTTTCAAAACTTTCAAATTTGGAGCTTTTTGATAATTTATTTAAATATGAACAAGGGCTCGGAAAATTATGAAATTTTGCACAACTGCTAAACTCAATACGCTCTTTTAGAATATGTAATAAAAAAAATATGCTGTACGAGCCTAATAGGCTAATAGAAATCAAAGAGGATTTTTTTTTGCGTAGGGCTTGGTTGTCTTCTGCGGCTTCTGGTAGAAAAAATAACATCGGTTTCCAAAATATCCGCAAAAACACATGTTCCGGTTTGTGATGGGGATAAGCATTCGGGGGCCACGTCATTTCCTCATTGAGTTCATTGGCCGCGGCTCGCTTTGCTCCTGATGCGTTCGACTAACCATTTTACTCTTTTCACTCACTGATCAGGTTACTATGAAACTGCTCTTTATCCGCTCAAACTCCGTTTTGCCAAGCTGGACTCACTTCATAATATATTAAAACAAACAAAAAACAAACGTCACCACTTTGCCACGATTACGCCGAAAAGTTCAACAAAACCCAACTTTTTGCCATAGCGGCAGCGTAATGTCAAAAATTCAAGATGGCTGCATTGCCGCCAATGAAATCGTACAAATTAAATCACAAGAGGCGATTTTCAGCCTGGGTCGGGGATTCTAAAATCACGATTCGACATACGATTCGACAACGAGACGATTTTTCCGACGATTCTAGGTTAGAAATCTCATTGGAATTATACCTTTCGACACGACAAGGCCGGTATCGTTGTCGAGTCGTGTGTCGAATCGTGATTTTAGAATCTCGGCCCTCTGAATGATTATTATTTGGTTATAACCAATGCATTTCCGCCGTCGCGGTTTTAACCAAAGTAGGGGAAGTTGTGACGTCACATATCAGCTGATTTGCTTCTGGTATTTACCACTTATAACCGATTATAACCCAGCTCTGGACTTGGGTTAATCTTTTGGTTACAGCTTTTTGATGTAATTGTTATTATTTTTGGAATTTGTAATGGTGTTTTGCATAGACATTTGTGATTTTGCAGTTGCCTTGTAGCCTGGCACAATGAAAGAAGTAAACATTCACCCACTCACTGCAATTCACCATATTTAGATCGTATAACCAAATCATTTCAGCGGTCAGTTCCTTGGGTTATGATTCTTAAATGGTGGGGGGCTATGGACGTCATACTTGGTTGTCAAAGTTGTCAACCAAAAGAATAACCACGGTATATACCAATAAATAATCATTCCAGGCTGAAAATCGCCTATGATTAGTTACGCTTACGTCAATTACGCCCGTGGGTTCTCGCCCTAATTCTGACAGAACGATTTCGGAACAGAAAACAGAACTGGAACTCTCCGCTAAAACACTAGCTACTCAATCCGGTGTTAGTCGACCCCGATTTGAAAGGAACAGATGCGCTGGATTTCGTGCACTTAAATAATCGAGTTCGGGCTTGAGCAGTCAGGTGCAACAAACACTTTTCGAAAGGAATATAAGTGCGTAACGCCCCGGAGTTGTTCCGGAGCTCGTCCTAGGTGTGAAAGGAATACAACTCCATATCAATGAACTCTTCAAATTTACTGAGAATTTGTCAATTAAGCCTCGAACTCATACATTTTATTTTGCGGAATTTTTTCTGTTGGTCGGACATATTCAAATCCGACAGGGCGCGAAAATTTTGGGGAGATTTCTTGCGATGAAAAATTAAAGTTAAATAAATTTCAACTTTATGCAAAATAAGCAGTGCTTTTTGTTTTATTTTTTCTAGCAGAGGTATAAACTGTCAAGAAAAACGCAATTATGGAGTACTGAGGAGAGAAAAAAATCCAAAAAAAAAGCACTGCGAATTTCGCATAAAGTTCAAATTTATCTCGGTTCAATTTTTCACCGTAAAAAAATATTAATTTGTATTCGCTTATTTTCGCTCCCTGTCAAAAAAAACATCCGTAAAATGAAAATCCGCATGAGTAGGTAGGTACTAGGTTTCGAATACAATATGTTCTTGTTTTAGTCCCTAGAGCCAGTAGAACGAACAAATCAGAATCAATCCGTCTAGTTGAACCGCGAATGGGTAGGTTTTCATTCACATTTACCAGACCTGCTCCAAGTAAGTAGATCTGGAGTAAGGAGTTCTTTCCTCAAAACACTAGAGCAATCATATCAAAATTTGCTTGGAGCGGAGATCTGGTTGCAAATGAAAACAAGTTCCTTTTCCTGTCGCTTTTTGGCGGTTGATTTAAATTTGAAAGTGTTTTAATTTGTTCAAACCCAAATTAAGAGCGCCACGATGCAGTTCTATTTAAGAGTTCTTCATCCAGTTTCAATTTATTAAATTTTATTGGCTGAAATTGTTAAACAGAAATAAAAAGAGCTTACATAATACATCAATCAAATCCGAAAATCATTGACAGAAAACTTTCCATTCATTGTGGCTCGTGGTTGGTTATGAATACGATTCTCGAGACGAAATCTTGAATGATCTATTTTTAGTTAATTTTAAGAATTAAATTAGTTCACGTAAGAAGTAATTAGGTTTTAAATTATATGTTAATTCTGTGTTATTAGAATAAATTAATATATTAGTAAATTTACTGACTCGGCGCAGTGCACACTTCCGTTCCGTTCGAATCGAAAAACAAAGATGGCCTTCTTCTTTCTCTCTCGCCAAGCGGCCACCATTCCTTTTCAAAGCGCATTCGCAGGTCAGTGCTCAAGTTTGCAGTCAGGATTAACAAGCTCCTTTTTACGAAATCTGTGTACAAAAATGGGTCTCCCAAGAGTTTTCTTCGATATGGCCGCTGATGGCCAACCTTTGGGCCGTATCGTCATCGAGGTAAGTGCGGCACGTTGAAAATTTCTAACCAACTTTTCAAATTTGCTTTTACCTCTCCTCACGTTTTTGCTATCATCATCCAAGCTCACGCGGCGTCACGCCGGACTTTAGCCATCTTTATTTGATTAGGATTTAAATGTTTTATGGAAAATTCCTGGATTACTGATATAATTTTATATTGTTTGTCGGCATTTTGACATTTGCACGTGTTTGTATGGAAATTTCGCTGGTCAGTGCTAAGCCAACATGGCAATTCTCTGTGGGCATGGAAACACCCATGATTCATCTTGATATAAGGCGTTCTTTCCTTCCACAAGGTTACATTATTGGCAATTGACCTTACATGGACGCGTGGTGTGGAATTGATATCTTTCTCTTTTCTATTAGCTCACTTGTTATTTGAAGAAATTACCCTTTTATTGTAAATCCAAATTTCTCACTCATTTTTATAATGTTTGAAAATCAAAATAGCGGTTTTATTTCAAATAGGGTTAGTGTACCTACGTGCAGACTGTAGACCCAATGCCCTCAAATTCTTATGCCACATGTAAAGTTTGCAAAAGTGATATTCAAAGACGCTGTTGAGCTTCTTTAGTTTTGTCTATGACCTGTTAGCTCTGATATCCGTGAAGTGAATTCTTTGTTGCCAGCAACTAAATGTTTACAGCAACCAGTCTATTACTGGTGATTTTAAAATGCAAAATCACAATGATCTTCTTTCGAATAGTTGAATAGAATAGGTACAAAATGCATTTCCCCAGGGTTATTTCACCAATAATTCGCCAATTTACTATATAGGCCAAGGCACTTAGCGAAATAACAGCCATATTTTAACATAAAATTTAACAGCAAACTATCCATGCAATATTGTTAAGGATCATTTATAGATGCTAAAAACCAAACCAAAAAAAATGCAACATCTAATTACTTTTAGGGGATTTTATAAACAATATTTAGTGCAAAAACAGGGCTTTTTTTTGTTTATTTCACTGTATTTCGAAAACTAAGGATCGGATGGTTTTGCTACTGTGCCAATAGTTTTAGAGCATTGAACAAGCTTTACAATGAGCCATCGTACAACCCTGTAGGTCTTTTAGTCTTCGAGAAATGATTTTTTTCCCCCAATAAAAGAGATTTTCATAAAAAATTGCCAACTTTTTTAATTTTCATGCTAGATAATTAATTTTTTACACATACATAGTAGATGAGGCAGGCTTCATTGAGCCCAAATTTGGGCCCGCTCCGATGGGTCGTTTCGGCATAATACCCTTGTCAAGCAAAATGGGGATGTTTCTAAAGTAGTCTGTCGAATTGAGGATAATTTTTTTATATTTATTTTGAAAAGTCCACTGATAAGTCGAAATGCGAAACTATCGATCCCCTATCTCAGATTTTCCATTTAATTTTTTTATCAAATCAAATCAAATCAAATCATTTATTGGTGCATTACTTCACAAAGTTTACACAAGTCAAATATATAGTAGTGGCAATTTTCAGGAACCTTTACGAACAATATTACTAACTAACAATCCTCTAAATCATTAAAATTATTGGTGGTATATTCCTCTATACTAAAAAAAGCTTTCTTAATTAAATAATTTTTAATTTTATTTTTGAAACAATTCAAATTTAGCATTCTAATGGAGGTTGGTAACACATTATAGAATTTGGGGCCATAGAAGGAAATTCCTGTTTTTATTTTATGTATTCTATGAAAGTTTGTATAGAGGTTGTCCCTATTCCTGGTGAGATGTTGGTGCATGTCCTCATGGGTCTGGTAATCATTGACATTACACCTAACATGAATCAGACAATGATAGACATATAAGGAAGGCACTGTTAATACCTTTGATTTCACAAAGTCATTCCTACACTCCGCTCGATAAGTTCTATGACACAATATTCGAATCGCCCTCCTCTGAAGTGCAAAGACTCTTTGCGCTTCTGCTGCATGTCCCCAGACCAGAATTCCATATGATATTTTTGACTGGACACAAGCAAAAAAGATGGCCCGTGCTGCTTGCTCGGAAACACTCTCCATCATTGTTCTGAGTGCATAGACTCCTGACGCCACTTTGGCACATATGTTATTGACATGTGGAATCCATGTCAACTTTGCGTCAATACTCACCCCCAGGAACGTAACTGGCTCATTATGTAGCAATTCAAATTCCCTCGTGGATATTACTAGGGTGCTATTTTTTGATTCATTCATACTCAATTTATTCGCTGAGAACCAATCAGTAACCCTCAACTGTGTCTCCTCTAGACTCCGTCTGAGTGTTTCAAAATTCCTGGCCCTTCTAATCAGAGTCGTATCATCAGCGAACAATATCAGGTCAGAACTGGGATCACACCCCTCCAAATCATTTATGTAGATCAGGAAGAGCAGTGGTCCCAGCACTGACCCTTGAGGAACACCATATTCTAGTTTGATAGAGGATGAGCTTTTATCCGCTACGCTTACTACTTGCGACCTTCCTGTAAGATACGACTCTAATAAGCCTATACTTTCAGGTGCAAATCTGTATTGTAGCAATTTTATCAGAAGGAGATCAGAGGAGACACAGTCGAAGGCTTTGCTTAAATCACAGAACAGAGCCCCACTATATTCCCCATTTTCAATCCCCTCATTAACCCTTTCTATGAACAAATTGATAGCACTAGTAGTAGACTTCCCACTCCTGAAGCCAAACTGCTTAGAACTAAATAAATTCTGACTCTCAAAATAATTTGTTATTCTATTTTTGAGTGCCTTTTCGAAAATCTTGGAGAAAACTGGGACAATTGATATAGGACGGTAATTACTCAAATCTTCCATTTCACCTTTTTTATATATTGGCACAACCCTGGAGATTTTTAGAACTGATGGAAAGACTGCATCTCTTATACACAAATTTAACAGCTTCGTAAGAGGATAGATAATAATATTAACAAGTGATTTTATTATTTTAGAGTTCATTCCATAAATATCCTTGCTTTTTTTGTTTTTTAATTGTTTTACTATGTCTCTAACTTCATTAATTGATATGGGAGTGAAATTGAAAACTGTGTCGGATATACCAATTTTTTTGATAAAATTGTTTACATAATATTGTGGAGTATTTATAGCTGTAGGTAAGTTACTAACAATTTGGGCTGCTATATTAGCAAAATAAAGATTATAGTCATTTGGAGAGAAATTGTTGCTATTTTGAATGCATTTTTGTTTTGTGATATTAGAGTTTTCTCTCACCAACTCCCATATCGTTTTCAAATTGAAATTATGCTTTTGTAGATAGGAAAAATGAGCCCTTTTTTTGGCTTCTCGTATGGAAATTTGGTAATTTCTTTTTAGAGACTGTTTTAATTGTACCATAATAGGACAATTCCTCTGTTTGGCTGCTTCTGAAACAATTTGCAATAGTTCTCTCTGTTCGCGCAGACTATCATTATACCATTTAATGTATTTTTTATTATGAGTGATTTCAATTTCCGGAAAAGCTAATTCAATATTATTTTTGAGAAGGTTGACAAAAAGAGAGAATTTGTCATCAGTTGACATTAATCCCGAGTTTACAAAATCCCAATCCATGGAATCAACTAACCCATACAGATTGAAAATGCCCTGCTCTGTGATTGGTCGGCTTTTATGAACCTGTTCTGTATCTTTTAATGAATGCTTTAAAGTTATTTCTGCACAAAGAGCGAGGTGGTCTGATATGTTCAAATCCCTTGTATATGCCCTAGAGACTATAAAATTAACAAAAACATTGTCTATGCATGAACCTCCGCGCGTTGGTGTAGAGATAACCTTACAAAACCCAAATGTATTTATTAGTAAATTGCAAGTAAATGGCTTCGAACATGACTGAAAATGGAAAAAATTGACGGGAATTCAAACGGAGTGACAGCGAGCTCCCCCCCGCCCACACAAATTACATTTTTTTCCATTTTCAGTGATGTTTGGAGCCGTTTTACCTGCGATAAAAAAATTAAATTGAAAATCTGAGATAGCGGATCGATAGTTTGGCATTTCGACTTATCAGTGGACTTTTCAAAATAAATATAAAAAAATTATCCTCAATTTGACAGACTGCTTTAGAAACATTCACATTTTGCTTGACAAGGGTATTATGCCGAAATTACCCATCGGACCGGGCCCAAATTTGGGCTCAATAAAGCCTGCCTCATCTACTATGTATGTGTAAAAAATTAATTATCTAGCATGAAAATTAAAAAAGTTAGTTTTACGAAAATATCTTTTTTGGGGGGAAAAAAATCATTTCTCGAAGACTAAAAGACCTACAGGGTTGTATGATGGCTCATTTTAAAGCTTGTTCAATGCTCTAAAACTATTGCCATATTAGCAAAACCATCCGATCATTAGTTTTCGAAATACAGTGAAATAAACAAAAAAAAGCCCTATTTTTGCACTAAATATTGTTTATAAAATCCCCTAAAAGTAATTAGATGTTGCATTTTTGGTTTTTAGCATCTATAAATGATCCTTAACAATACTGCATCGATAGTTTGCTGTTAAATTTTATGTTACGAAAAAATTTATCTGCCCTGGCCTAATAAACTAGAATAAATTGTCCAAAAAAATCGTTTTTTTATCAAGAAATTGTTTCACTTAAATTTTGATAGAATATCGAACGGTAATTGAAAAGTTGTTGAATGAGTCTCAAGTCGGCTGGGAGGTTGGATTGACACTCATTCAACATCTTTTTGATAATTCATCTCCAATATTCTTTTAAAATTCAAGTAAAAAAATTGCTTGAAAATTACAAACTGGGATGAAAATATTTATTTTTTTTCCCAATCTTGACATCATTAAAATTTAAGTGTGGGAAAAGTTTATAATATAGGTAACAACATCATGGTTTTTTTTTTTAAATTATTATTTGATAGAAAAATGTATGTCCAATTCTTATAGGGACATTTTTATAAAGCTGGTAATCATCAATCAAATACAGAGGTACCTAATGACAAACTAGTGATTTTTTCCCCAGATATCT